CTTTTTTACTGACCGGTAACGGGATTGCAACCCTCGGTGTCGCGCCCGTACCGCGACCGGCAACGGGATCGCAACCCTCGGTGTCGCGCCCGCACCGCGCTCAACCAGTGAGCAGACCGGTCTCTATATGGGATCCGAACCCTCGGCGGGAGCACCACCACACTCCCAAGTACCGCACTCTACCGAGTGCACCACCGGGCCGGCCCCTTATTCTGCTCTTTTTAATTAGTTTCTCCTCACCTAAAAACATCCTACCCAGACACTTTTGTTCCAGGATATCTCCCCTACTTTTATCCTACTTTCATTGCAGGCTGCCCTTTGTAAAACATCCATCCGACCGTGTTTTGGCCTTGCTAAACATTTGATGACTCTCACTTGCCAGGAGAAAGCCCTTCTCATAATGTAGACGGCTCTGACCTCCAGTTTCATTCTCATCTCCTACCACTTCCCACCACACCCGCCATGCCGTTTCACACCTCTACAACTTTCCACCTGCCATCGCTAGGTCCTTATCTGCCTTCCTTCTATCCTTCTTGTCTTCTCACATTTAAGAGACAAATCAATATTACCTCCCCAATGAAACTTCTAGAATCTCAAAGCAGAGTTAGTTGCCTTTTGTGCCCCAATCTGCATGAATTTCTTTTAGCCTTTCCCACATCTGATTATTTTCTTCCCCACTTAAGAAGCATTTTAGGAGACAGCATGATGGAGTGGAAATAGCAGAAAATTTAGAAGCTTTCAGACCTAGATATGCACCTTACCCTTCCTTACTCAAGATGTATGGCAATGACCAGTCACTTACCTTCTCTGAGTCTGCTTTCTCATCTGTAAAGTTGAAATAATCACACCTGCAAAGTAGGGACATTGCAATGCTTGAAGGTAATATGTAATGTGCCCATCCCAGTGCCTGCCACTAGCTCCATTGATAGCTCTATCAATAAATTAAGCTTCTTAAGGGACCAGGATGGTATCTTATTGATCTTAAATCCCTCCTCCTCCACCCCTTATGCCAAATAGTGTGCCAGCACAGAGCAGTTTTTTTGAATGAGAACACATACACACACACACACACACACACACACATGCATTATATATATGTATATATAATATTTGTTATTCAACCTTTGATTTATGAGGGAATGTGTTATTAATTTTAATAATTGATCTCATTGCTGATGACCTCCATTCAATGGATACCATAAGCAGCACGTCCATCTGGGTTTCTGTTAGTTTAGCTAAAAGCCTAGGAAATATCAACTGCATACTGATATAAGAATAAATTGGATATGAGTAAGGATACAAAGCAGGTAGTATCAACAGTTCATTTACGTCCTCAATATACTTCTTTAAAACTATTTAAGTAATTAAAATATTCTTAAATTACAAGCTCAGGAGAAAGAATTTGCTTCCAGGTGTTGGGCCTACCCTGTTAGTTTCACTTGTCTAACTATATGGCTCGGTATCTTTAGGAGAAAATTTAAAATAGTATTGCCTATGACATCAGGCCAACTGAAACATGCTCTGTTTATGAATATGTTACATATTATGAAATGACTAAAAACCCCAACTGGAATTTAAGGAAAGTCATTTCTATTTATTTATTCACCAGCCAAAACCACCTTCAAAAAATTAGATCATTCCCAGGTAGGAAGCTTATATCACAGACAAAATTACATTGCCTTGAAAATTCAGGAGAATATTAAAGATTGTGATGCTGTCCACAACCCTCAGTGTTCCCTACCTTGCAGAGCTGGGCCCTGATTAGAGCAGCATCACAGGAAAGAACATACGTGAGCTTTTGGAATCAGAGAACTGTGTTCAAATCCCAGCTCTGCCACTTTGTAGCTGTACAAACTTAAGACAAGTTATATGATGTTTGCAAGCCTCAGTGTGTTTTTTCTGAAAGTAGGGATAATAATAGTGCTTCCCTTATCATAGAGGAATGAGTAAGATAAGTGGTTAGCACAGTGCCTGATACACAGTACCTGCTTAACAATTCGTAGCTGTCAGCCCTCAATTTACCCCTATTGAAAGGGTGTTCCAGCTTCTAGAGAATAGAGCAGGGTACCAGCCTCAGGAATTTAGCAGGTAGTAGGAGAATATTGTGCTCACCAGCCCAGGGTATGATTATGTCTCTGTCCCAGGGACTCTAATTTTATCCGTGCCTAGATAATCTACTGGAGATTGGTGGCAAGGAAGGGGCAACCCAAAGCACCCTTTCTACTCTGAGATAATTCAGTTGCATCCACGATCTGAGAATAATGACTGAAGAACTACCTGTAACTGTCTGTCACCAACTTCCGTTCATGTGAGGTACTAGGTAAAATATAATGAAAGTGTCTAAGCACATGGACCAGTAAACTGAAGGCTATGAACTAGGTGCCCTGGATACCTAGTCTACAGTAACTACCACATCATGTAAGGTATTACAAAAGTAATTGTTAAGAGATTGCAGTGGTGATGCTGGGGACCGCACTGCAGAGCCATGACGGTGATGTGAGTCCTGAAGGACGAGTAGGAAGTCATCAGATAAGGTGGCAGTTTGGGGCAGGGGCCTTCCGAGCCCATGATACAGCATGTGCAAAGGTGCCCTCAGTGCAGACCCTAGGGAGCCTTGTCAATGGAATAAAAATGACCTATCAAGTCTATGCCATGAAGATGGCATTGTGCACAAAACCATACCAGCACACCATGAGACCTGAAGACACACTTAGGCCCCGGGTGGCTTCTAATTCTCTTATTCAATAATGCAGCCAGAGCTAGAAACATTCTGCCTTGTTTGAACTCACAAACCACAGGAAAAGAGTGCTGGAGCTGTGGCTCCCAGAGGTCTATTTCATTATTCTCTTTATAGTCGTCTTAATTGCACGCGTGGGGAACAAGTTGAAAGTCAGAACCACCCAGCTTAAGGGCCTCTTGCTGCGAAGTGACTTGGAAAACTAACAGTTCCCCAGACAGCCAAAACCTACTGAAGCTACTGTAGATCTTTGAGTAGAAAGGTTAGCTGACAAAAAGTGTGTTTTTTAAAGCACCAATTTAAAAGACCAGATCTAGGGCTGACTGATACTCTGGCTTTATGAGCTATGACTAGCTGCTCTCCGTATGGCCTTGTGAGGGCCAAGCCCAGGTGAGACCAGCCCTCATGGGAGCGTTACCTTTCTTAAGTACAGAGTAAAGGTAAGAGAATACCAAATTGTTTGAGTGGGGAGCCAAACTGGCACCATTTTCTGCGAGTGAAACTGTGTGTTACCTCAGAGGGGGGCCCCGAGCACCCTGCCTGTTCTAGTGAAAACACCACGTCATTTCAGC